TAGACAAGAAGTGACACAGATAAATAGATGCCCACAGTTATAAACAACTGAGTCCTGAGTTACTTTATCCCTTAAGATTATTGCAGCAAAAGCTAGCTAATATGATGGCTGGAGCTCCGGCAGCCTTCCTGAATTACATGGTAGCCTTAAAATTTTAAGACAAACCCAAGAAAGTTACAGAGCAATAAAATAGAGGCCTGGGTCCCTTAAAATAGCATGAAACTATGTCACCTTTAAATTTCCCCTTTAAGAGAAAAGACACCCTTGTATATTTAAGCAACTATGGTGTTATTACCTGAGAAATGGTATTTGTGTCCATCCTTCAATAAAAGGAAACATTTCCTTTCACACAAAGAGAAACACTGAATACAGACATAGGCAGTTATTTAAATGCAAAATAGAGGTCTAGGAAGGAACACCGTGCTCACTGTGAGCCACTGAACTAGAAATTATTTGGTGTAGCTCAAGGGAGTGGAACAGTAGCCATGGAGCCTGGCAAAGGCATAGGACTAATTGTTCATAAGTGAACAAAATTCACTCACAGATCTCAAATTAAGAAGAAGAGTCAAAGGCATTTTGAAGATGTCTAAGGAAACCTTCAAGGGGTGGAGCGGTGGATCAGTGGTTAGAGCACTTGCCACACACAGCTGAGGGCTAGAGTTGGGATCTCCAGAACCTACATAAGTGCCAGGCTAGTACAACAGCTGACCTGTTATTCCAGCTTCAGAGGCAGAGATGGGGGAGGTCCTCAGAGAAACTTAGATAACAAGACTAGCTATATTGTCAAGCTAAGTTCTGGGTTCAAAAGACTCTGCCCCAATGACTAATATGAAAGAATGATCAAGAATGATTTCAAAATCAACATTGGGCCTCTACATGCATTTGAAATCACCCACATACATACACACACCAACACACACACATAACACATGTGCCCCCCCACCCACACACACAAACGAAAAAAGAAAAAAGTAAAAAGAAATGTGCAAGTCATTCAAAAGCAGTATGGCAGGACTGACTCCATGATCTCACTCTGAAAGGCCCCTCACAATTGCTATTTCCCAATCTGCCTTCTCCAGAGAAAGAATGCACTCACCCCAGGTGATTTATTCTAACTAGCCAGACTCTGGCTCACCTCCTTTGGAACAGAGAGGTCCCTCTCTGTCCAAAACATCTATAAAACAGCAGGAAAGAAGAGAGGAATAAAGGAATGGCTGTCGTATTGAAATGTGTGGTTTATTCTGGGGTCCCCGCTCCTGAGGCTTTGTCACTGTGTTTAAAACGATGAAAAGAATAGGTAATTTCCTTCCATTTGACCACAGAGTTTCAAGACAGAGGGTCAGGTCCAGTAGACTATTAGTGCTAAAGTTCCCAGAAGAAAGTCACACCTATGCAGAGGACTGAAGCCCAAACAGCTGATTAGGATTTCATGGTTGTAGAGCTCTGGAATATTGCAGCTCCAGAACCAAATCTTCTTGGGTTCTCTTTAGCCCCCTTAATAGTCACCCACTGTCCACGGCTGCATCTGACCCGGAGTGCTTTACATGCATTAACTTAGCAGACCACAGCTCTCACCAACCCCAAAGGTAAGAATGTCATCAGACAGCATCTGACACCTGCAGCAGGGTCACCTCTACTTTGTGATGACCACCTACCTGATGCTCTTACTAACATGTGTGGGAAATGCCTTGATTTATGACTTTGGTCCTATGACTATAAAAGTGTCATGAACCTGTTTTCCTGTTGACACATGTCATTTGGAGCCACCTGAATCTGTGTCCCCATTCATCCTGGCCATTCATATTTGGCTCAGAATCAGTTATCTTTTATTCCCTTTGAGGTGAAATCAGTAGTTGGAACTGATGTTGCTACCTAGATGTTGCCAGATCTTTGCATTTCCCCTCGTGAATCTACTGTTTTCTTTAAAGAACAAACAAACAAACAAATCCAAAGGAAGGCAAGAACAAAAACAAAAATCACTTGGAGATCCCGGCGTCATTCTCTTGTGCAGTCAGCTCTATTTTGCTACATCTAATTTTCTTTACAGTTTACATGTAGAACATTTAAATTGCCAATGTTTATAATCTGTTTTCTTTACTTCACATAGCTGTAGAGATTTCATGGAGAAATACAGTAAAAAAAAAAAAAATCCTCCCTTAAATAACCAGAGCTGCCCTAGAAAACTCAGAGGCTTTATCAACTTTACAGAGTCCACATCTGCATTTTAAATGTTGGCAGAATATTTTATTTCGAGAATAGCATCGAATTTAGAACCTATTGCTTTAAAACCAGACTATATGGGACTGAGGCAGGAAGGTGGAGAGATGGAGGATGGTGTGGACTATGTAGTGAGATTATCTCAAAAACCGGAATCAGACTGGAGTGAAGGGTCTTTGGGTGAAAGTGCTTGCTGCACAAGACTGACCACTCAAGTTTACATCCTCTGAAGACATATGAAAACATGCATGTCACGGCACACATCTATAACCCCAACAGCACACCATGAAATGGAGACAGAGACAGAAGAATCACCTAGAAGCTCCTAGGCCTGCTAACCTGGAATCCACAGAATGGCAGAAACAAGAGAAACCTGTCAAGGAAAAAAAAAAAAAAAAGCAAAGGTGGATATCAAGAACTGAATCCTGACAGTTATCTCTGTATGTACACTCTGTGATATGACCACATAGAAAGAATCATACATACCTCATACACACACCACAACCATGAAAACAAAAGAACTAATGGATAAACAAAAACAAACTAGCAGTAGGTCAAGCTCAACTTCAAGGCTAGGCAGTTTTCAGATCCAAAACCTAGCATAGTAAGCCTCTTCAGCTACATGACAGTCAGGAAAGTCTGTCCTCTCTCTTTATATTTGAGCACAACACACATAGCTGGGGTGATCCAGCTATGCTTTGGCATTGAGATAAACCAACTAAATCATGGATAAATGTGTTAAGAGAGCTGAGGGATTTCTAGTATTTGCAGCTCAATGGATCTCATAGGTAGGAGTGAATTAGATATAAACATCTTGTGTGTGTGTGTGTGTGTGTGTGTGTGTGTGTGTGTGTGTGTGTGTGTATGTCTGGCATTGCATGCCTTATTGTGAGATGTGGGATGGGCAGTCATTTTCTTGTCTTGTCTTCACTTTGAGAGGATAGGCTTGGTAGTCCGTAGGATAAAATTTAAAAAAATTATTGTACTAACCCAGCGTTTTCAGGTTTAAATCTAGTTGGTTTTTCAGCCTCAATGTTCAACTGTAGGCAGTGTGTTTGTTTTTAGATGTGCAGACTAAGTTTCAAAAGTATGCCAGGTGCCTGAAATACTCAAATTCTTGCCATGAATCTATCACTGTATGGTAAGGACTTGGGGCTGTTTTTACTTTCCCATTGTCACTCTACATCTCAATATTGGTTAGTGGTCATGAAAACTACTTTTGTTTTTATTGCTATAACATAATAGTGTTCTAGCCAGTAGTGGCCTGTACCTTGTGTCCAGAACTGAGGAATTATTTGTGTGTGTGTGTGTGTGTGTGTGTGTGTGTGTGTGTGTGTGTGTGTGTAAAATTGAAATTAATTTTACTTAGTCAGAGCCCTGCAAAGTATATGACCCAGCTCTTATCACATGGGGAACCATGCTTAAGCGACTCGCATGCCCCTACAAAAGAGATGGCTTGGAGGGTATGTAGAATAAACTGGAGAACAGAAGCTGGGGCAAAGCTGATAGAACATCAGGCACACACCAAAACGAGGCAGAAAATTCCCACCCCGTTAAGGGCCTGCTCCTCCAGGCTACTTTATATGAAAGGAACCTTATGGGCAGAGAACAGAAACTGGAGCCAGTATGCCCTGTGGTCACTGTCCCATGCCTGAGGACCTATGAAAACCATGATGTTCATCAAATTGCAGCAGCTAATGTCTGCTTTCCCAGAATGCTACGAGGAGAGACAGGCAATAAGAATAACTCTGCTTTTCCCACAGTCAGACACGGTTACTGTAAGAGGCACACTTACATAAGTATAGAGATGAAGATGCCGCCAGGGTATGCATGTGGTTTAAACTGGGTCACACAGGCATTGTTTTATGTGTGTATCTTTAATAACTAGAAAATAATAATAAGAAGACATGATTCCATTGATAATCTCCAACACTCACCATCGGGGCTCTGAGACCATGTGACTATCAACCCATTTTGCGTGGTCTTCATAGAGAGGCTGGCCTGTAAGTTCTAGGGAGTGCCATGGTGCCAGTATTCAAACCAAATACCTGCACTAGTTGACATCTGCTGGCATCGTGAGGGTCTAGAATTGTGATTGAATAGCAATAAGCATGAAAGGGATGAGAGGAGGGGGAGAGAGAGAGAGAGGGAGGGAGGGAGAGAGAGAGAGAGCGCCTGCTCCATTGCTCACATGAATAGACCGAGAAGCCTGGACCCCCCACCCCTACTCCACATCTGAAGCTGCTGTTGTTACTAATATTAGGCTTTTCTTTAACATCATGCACTATAACATCTAAATTGTGGGTTTTTTCTGTAAACAAAGGGTGATAAATTTGATGGTCCAAAAGTCCCATGATCGATGTAAGTTTTTAAAGAACAAATTTCTGAAGGAACCAGTTTTTTTAAAAAAAATAAATAAATAAAGGACAACACATCTCCCTCCATTTGCAAAGGAAGCAGGCCAATCAGCCAGGATGGGCATTTTGTGGTTTTATGAGTTCATGTCTTTGTCTTTCACACTGGCATAGAAATTCCTGGTTTGAAATTTCAAGAATGTTGCAGCTTTGCAGTGAGTGCTGAGAACATCCCACGTACACTCAGTGTGGCTGGAGAATGCCAGACCCAGTATCAGAGAACACAGGACACATCATTTTTTTAAAAAGGCCCCTCAGTTTTCTCTGTTTACTTATAATGTTGTTTCTTACAGCATGTTAGCACCCAGAAAAATCATGCCAAGAAAGAAAGAAAATTCAAATTATCCCTAAGTCAGAGAAGGTAGCAAATGTAGACTTTTATTTAAAAAAGAAGAAGAAGAGAGAAAAGCTATTTTGAGAAAAGCATTTAAAAAGTACAATTATCTAGCAAGCAAAACTGATAATTATATAATTCTTCAGCTTTTGGCAGGTTGACTTTCGCTTACAGGAACGGGTTGGGATTCATCTCTGCAGTGCGTGTGCCTCAGATCTCTCTCTGCAGATGGTCAACAGAGAGCAGAGGTGTCATCAGTCCAGGGGCCCGCAGGGACAGGCACTATTTATCCTAGTGTTTATGGGGAGAAAATAACTTAAAGAGGGCAGATGGAAATTGCGGGTAATAGAGAGTCAAGATAATGGGTAAAAGAATGTTTTCTCTTACAAAAGTGAATGTGTGACATGCAATCAGTGACAAAGGACTGGCTTCCCAGAATAATGGCGCCTCCTACACCTTGAACTTTTGGAAGGTGTCACCTTGGCTCTGAGACAGAGACTCGATTGTTGAGCATCTATAATGTGCTAGGCTGTGCCATTTGCTGCGTGCGAAGTGTCTCCTGTGCTCTAAACTGTGTGTGGAAATCGTACCCCCTTGAAGGTTTATATGATAGGTTCATATAAACAACAAAGTTAGGAAATGCACCTAAGTGTTTATTTTACTCTATCGTGTTGATACAGGCTGGGAGTGAACTAGTCAGCTTTTTCTGTGTAACCAACAACCCCTGTCAGGCATGATGGCCTGTTCTTCTAATCCCAGCACTTTAGGAGGATCAGGAACTTAAGAACAGCCTCAGCTATGTAGTGAATTCAAGGGTGGGCCTGTGTTACATGAGACCCTGTCTCAAGAAATAAAATCAAGGGGCTAAAGAAATGGCTCAGTGGTTAAGAACACTGACTGCCCGTGCAGGGGACCCAGGTTCAGTTCCCAGCACCCATACAGCAGATCACAATCACCTCTAACTCCAGTTCCAGGGCATCTGACAGCCTCTTCTGGCCTGCATAGGCACTGCAAGCATGTGACACAAAATGTGCAGGTAAAACATTCATGCATAGAAAATAAATTTTAAAATCTTTTAAAAAATAAAATAATGCACAAGCATGAGGACTAGGTTTTGGATGTCCAGAACCCAGGTGAAATCCTTGTAGTCATGGCAACCCACTTAGGATTCCAGTAGGAGAGGGGCAAAATCAAAGGATCCGTGGAGCAAACTGGCGTGAGCTAGATTAGCAGAACAGATGCGTTCTGACACAAGCAAGATACCCTGCTTCGATAATCAGGTAGGGGTGACCAAGGAAGACATGAGGTACCAACCCTGGCTTCCACACGCATGCACACTCACATATACACATATGTGCACACATGTACAAACATAACCAGCATACACACCATAAACAACACCAACGAAACGCTAACTCCAAGACCCCATGTCATAAACTCACAGGCCCATATTTAGCCCGTTACTTCATGAAGTGGTTAATGATACAGGCTCACAGGAGCTCTCTGATGCTCTTACAGATGGATGATAGAGTGGCTAGGTGCTCTCTGGTCCAGGAGGGTTCTGTCTAGCAGGCTTGTCTCTGTTCCGTTAGCAGGCTGATCAAGGTTGGCATGGAGTGACTTGGCAGTGTCCTGAGAGAACAGCTGACATTGTGAGCATGCTTTGGTGACACGGGCTCTAAAGTAACATAACATCCTTGTTCCCACTATGTCCTGTCATCCATAGCAAGCCTCAAGCCCAGCTCAACTTCAAGGAGTAAGACTGAGACTTTACCTCCTAACAAGAGGAGAAGCAAGCACACTGCAATATGGGGGAGGGATGAGTTGCGCAATCATATTTCATTGTGAATTTGTATACAGTTGTCAAGAATAATGAAAACTTACCTTAAAAAGGAACAATTGCTGGGTGTGGCAGAGCACACTTTGAATCCTGGGAGGCAGACGGATCTCTTTGAGTTCAAAGACAGACTGTTTTATTTTGTTTTTCAAGAGAGAGTTTCTCTGTGTAGCTTCATAGACTAGGTTGGCCTTGAACTCACAGAGATCCACCTGCCTCTGCCTTCCAAGTGGTGGTATTAAAGGCGTGTGCCACCACTGCCTGGCAAGAAAAGAATTTTGAAAAGTGACTGAAATAAATGGCAAATGGAAAAGTAGTGAGCTGCAGTCACTGTCAGAGAGATAAGATGTAGTGAGAACAAAACGGGAACAGCGATGAGGACCTTGTTAACGGTAACTCTCCCCGCCAGCCTGGTGCCGGTGTCACATCAACCCCAAATAACTCATGAAACACTGTATTAATTATGAATACTCTTGGTTGTTTGCTATGGTTTCTTATAGGCTAGCTCTGACTTAATTATTAACCCATTTCTAATAATCTAAGTATTTCCACATGGTCTTTTCTTACTGGAGAAAAGGTACAGGCCTCTTACTCCATTGGGGTCTACATGGCATCTGCTCAGCATCTCTCTGCAGAGAAAAGAAGAAAAGAGAAGAAGAGAAGAGGAGAGGAGAGGAGAGGAGAGGAGAGGAGAGAAGAAAAAGAGAAAAGAGAAGAGAAGAGAAGAGAAGAGAAGAGAAGAGAAGAGAAGAGAAGAGAAGAGAAGAGAAGAGAAGAGAAGAGAGGGATTTTCCTGCCTGTCCCTGCTTATATTCTGATTCTGCCTACTATGTCACTTCCTGCCTGAATCACATGGTAACTTCTCTTTACTACATTTCCCAGAATTCTCCTAGTCCTGCCTATCTTGCTTCCCTATTGGCTAACAGTGCTTTACTCATCAACCAATAAGAGAAACATGTACAGAAGACTTCCCCCAGCAGGGCCTCTGGTCCACATACTCAGCACTGGTGAGCACATGATGACAACACTCATGGCATAGCTCTACAGGGTCACAATGTTTGAGGAGTGGTTGGCTTTAAGAGCCTGTAAAACTATTTACACATTCTTTCTCAATAATTGCCTTTCTAAGAGACTCTCTTCTAGGAAAATACTCTTGGATGCAAAAAGATGGAGGGGAAGATTTACTGAATTCCTGCTGCCCAACTTTATGTTGAACACCCTGACCTTGGAAAGCTGTGGAAATGTGATAGGTACAACTTATCCCATTTATACATTAGACACCTTGTCTAAGTAAGTAACCTAGCCAGCATCAGGCAACTCTTCTGGCTCTGCTTTATCTGATCATGAAGACCATGTTCTGTCTTGTGGCTCCTCATCTCTCCTCCTCTTGCCTAAAGTTGTGTATTAGCTACTTTTCCATTGCTGTGATAGAATACTGTGACAGAAAGCAAGCTAAGGAAGAAAGGGTTTATTTGGACTTACAGTTCCAGAGTGATACAGTCCATCATAGCAGGAAAGGTGAGGCAACAGGAGCATGAGTGGTCACATGTTATCTGCACACAGGAAGGAGAGTGTGTGTGTGTGTGTAAGAGAGAGAGAGAGAGAGAGAGAGAGAGAGAGAGAGAGAGAGCAGGAAGTGGAAGCAGTCCACTAAACCTCAAAGCCTACCCCTCAGTGATGAACTACTTCCGGCATGATTCTACCTCCTAAAGATCAACTCCTAAGCCACCAACTGAAGACTAGATTTTCAAATGCATGAGCCAGTGGGGAGCATTTCTTGTTGAAACCACAAGTCACAATGGCCATGATGGGTGACGGTTAATCTTCATTGTCAGCTTGACTAGAATCACCATGGAAACACACCTCCAGGGTGTCTGTGAAGGATTTTCTTGTGGGAAGATCCAACCTAAATTGGGCTGAGCTCCAAACTTTATAAAAAGAGAAAGGCTATCGGAGACAGGCATTTGCCTCTCTGCTTACTGGCTACAGATGCCATGTGACCATATGCCTCACTTCCTGTTGCTGTCTTCCCTGCCGTGATGGACTGTATCCCCTCAAACTATAAGCAAAAAAACCTTTCCTGGCTTGAGTATCCCATCAGGTATTCGGTCACAGCAGTAAACCAAGTAATTAACACAATGGCTCTGAGGAACAGATGGGGGACTTGAGGCTCCTGAAGGATTCAGGAGGATGCAACCCAACAGGAATGGTCTGCGGGTTATATTTTGGCAGCCACTGAGTTTTTTAGGCTGAGAGAACATTAAGCATATGAGCACCAAGGGAAGATGCAATGAAGGCTTGACAGGAGTTGATTCCAGGCCACTGTAGCTCTTGAGAAGGATGGAAAGGTGGGCAGGTGCTGGGCAATTTAATTTCAATACTTAGTAAATTTTAATTATGCAAAAGAGAGAAAGGGGTCCCCAAGATAACCCCACAGCCTGCTGAGTTTTCCTAAACCAGATACCTGTAATACCCAGAGGCTTCACATGAAACTGGGTCCTAGGCAGGAGGAGGACTCCCCTGCACCCTTGCTCTGTGAATAAGCACTGGTTTTGGTTTCTAGCACATACATATGTTTAGCTCCTTTGTATTTTATCTAAATGCAGTTTTGCACTGTGCACTTGATACCCAACTCCTTTCTCTCTGGTGTTGGTGAGAGTCATCAGAATGGCAGTGATTGTGCATTGTTCAGTCTCACTGGGTAAGTAGGGAATAGTTTTGACCATCTTGATATGGAAGGTGCACCTTGGTGACCTTCAACCTCCTTCACCAGAATGGCATGACATGGCATACATCAGTTATCACTCATATGGCGCTCTTAGTCATAGTCTAAGCCGGACTAGAGACTGAAGCACATAAGCCTGACCCAGAGGCCCTTTGCTTGAGTCTTTTCCCTACAGGGAGTTCCTTTCTGTGATGCCCTGGTTATCCAGAGCTCCTAATCCCCATGGAGCATCCTCAGGGGGACAAAGCAGGAAGCAGCATCCTTGGGAGCCTTATTAGTTGTTCTGCAGAATGTCTCTGGGTCATGAAGTCCCATGACTTGGGTCCCACAGGAACCGTTGGGGGTCTACCAGCATCAGCTGTATGTCTCCAGGACACATTTTTCCCCACTGAGTTGATTTCTTGTGAACAATTCCCTTGATGTTCTCACAACTGTCTCTGAAGCCCTTGATGGAGGACAAGTTCTCTGGGAACTGGGCAGTGTGTCATGAGTTCTCATCATTGCAATCTTAGGTTTTCCCTCAGAATTGTCTATCCAGCCCCAGAATTTTATATGATGAAATTAAATTACCCAGCACCTACCCACCTCTCCATCCTTCTCAAGAGCTACAGCGGCCTGGAATCAACTCCTTGTCAAGCCTTCATTGCATCTTCCCTTGGTGCTCATATGCTTAATGTTCTCTCAGTCTAAAAAACTCAGTGGCTGCAAAAATATAACCCACAGACCATTCCTGTTGTAGCTTGTTTTTTTTAATAAAGTTGCATTGGTATTCAGACTATGTCTGTTCATTGAAAAACTGTCTATAGCTGCTCTGGTACTCTAACAGCAGCAGACATCACATGTCCCACAAATCTGAACATGTTTACTATGGCCCTTTGTAGGGAACACTGCCAAGCCCTGGCCTAGGACACTGTCAGATGTCTCTTCCATCTACCCCATGTGTCTAACTCCTACTCCCTTTGCAGAATTCAGAGAAATGCAAACAGCAAACCTTTGTTTGTATCCTTTGTTTAAGAAGACCTTGCTCAGTATTCCTGAACCTTCCCTCCAAGGCCGACCTCTGCCTCCTTCCCCAAATGGTTTCCCCTGCATCTAGGATTGCATGCAAGCTTCCCCATGGTCCCCAACTTCTATGCAACTTGTGTGTGTCTCTCTGGCCTCCTCTATCCTTGTTTGGAATTTAATCTCTTTGGCCTCAGTCTATGACTTAGCCCAGTTGTTCTGCACTTCAGGGTCTTTGTGCAGTCTATATTCTGCCTGAATTCTTTTTCCCATTTGTTCTTCTCTCCACTATGTCATTCATGTGTCAACTTAAACACAGAAGAAGTCATTCTGTGAGTGGTCCCTGGAGGCTCCTCCCCCAATGCAGGGTCTAGAGGGCCCACACCTTTCAACTGGGCCTTTACCTAACCCAGTCCATGTCCAACCTGTAGGCTCCCCACACACCTTCCCTCACTCAACAAGCTCCACTGAGAGTCCACTCACTCTTGGTCTTCTCCCAGCAGAAGGCTCTACCAGAGACAGAACTACACCAGCCCTCCCATCTTCCCCAGGCTTGGAGCTGAGTGCCCCTCCTCACTATGGAGAGGATGGACTTACATCAAGGAGAAGTTGTAAGTCTTTCTGCTTCAAGCAGAGAGACCAGCCATCCAGAACCACACCAAGGGAACTCCACCATCACTCTCTTCAGAGACAACATCAGCTGCAGAGAGCTGTCTCAGGGTGGCCAGGCCCTGGCTGTGACTGCCCACATCAAGGAAAGAGGGCATGGAGGCCTGGCATTCTATGAGATTCAGGCCAGCTCCAGGTGATTCCACTCCAGAGCACCCGTCCTGACCCACAGGACACTCCCCAGCCTCTGCATCTCCTCCCCCTTAGTGGCCTTTGATTCCTAATGAACAGCTCGTCTTTTCCTCACATTCTACCTCTGCATCTGCTTCCAGAGCATCAAGGCTATATAGCCTTTGTTTATACTGTTTGGAGAGATGAGCAGAGTTCCCCTCAGACCTGGGCTGGCATTTCTCACAAGCGCTCACTTGAAAGTATTTGCTAGCTTCCCAGGTTCTGTCTTCACCTTAGCAAATGGAGAGGGAAGGCCCTCACTTCAAGGCTGATTTTAGGGTTCACTATGGCAGGATGTTTAAGTGGGGTTAAATATAAACATACAGGTATTTCTGTTTATATAAGCCTATGTGTATATGGAACCAAATGACCTTGACTCCTTGTTTATGTCCGTTTATAAGCAGCATTGTTGAAGCTCGAGTCTCAAAGCAAAGTGACCCTGAAATTTTGACCTCACTTCCAGATGCAGAGCTGCCTCATTCTGTTCAGCTGGCTTCAAGATAGGAAAGACCTATAGTGGGAAATTACCAATACGGAGTCAGGTAGAAATATAAGGGTATTTAATAGGGAAAAGCCTTACTTACAGAGCGACCTAGCCAGCCGGCATGGCAGCAGTCTGTACAGCAAGTCCAAAAGAGAAACCGAAAGCGAAAATGCAGTCACCCTACGTCCCCTGACCACACCCTCGAAAGCTTGTGAGGACATGGTCAGGCACACCTGTAGCCAGCCACTAAGTAGGTGTGGCTACAGCTTCCCCTACAATTCCCCTTTTTGTCTAAAAGAGAAATAAAGCTTTACAGGCTTCAGCCTCCAAAATTAACAATCAGAAAAGTAAAATATAAGAAGATCCTAACTATTTTAACTAAACCCTAAAGTCATCTGAAAGAGGTGGCCAAGCCTGAGCACCTCCTTCCAATCCCAAAGATAAACAATAAGAAGCTATCCCTAACTAGGTATATACACTATCCTAAGTGACAACAATGGGGAAAGGGGGCGTAGCATTCTCCAAGTTACTTCCTGCTGAAAGGGGATGATGATAGTCACGTGGGGTCCTGTAGAAAGAAAATGTTAGCATCCAGTCCATGTTAGATGGGATTTACTTGATTGAAGATCTCGCTTGAAATCCTCAACTGACCACGCCCTCAAAGACCGGCTTCGGGAAGCGGGAAGTGTTGGTTATTTTTTGTCGCTGCGACCAACAGAGGGGATCGAAACAACAGAGGGGAGCAAAGGTTTATTTCAGACCGACGGTGGGGAACCGTCAGTCACCTTTGGGACTGTTGATGCAGGCCTCTGGTGGAGAGGGAGCCGATGGAGAAGGTGGGAGCGGATGGGGAAGGCTATCCGCCCTCTGAGGCGGCAGGGTGAGGCTCAATCTCAGCCTCTCTAACAAGTCCCAGGTGATGTGGACGCTGACCTCTAGCCCACTCTACAGAAGCCCACCTCACAGGCCTTCATGTTTCATTGTGAGATCAGAATCCCATGGGCTTAAGGTGGAGGACGGTTTGGTCTCATCAAAAACTGAACTGACCCAGGAGCATGAGAATAACCAACTACGTCCGTGGGTCCTTGGGGATAGCTTGTTTACTCGGTCTGGGGCCATCCCTTCAACTCCTCTCCCCCACTCAACCCACAGGTTTGCAACCCTGCTACTCTGCCGTCAGTTCCACTGAAGGGCTCCAAGGGCTGTGTCCAGTGGGAATCATTGCTGTCAACGAACCTAATGTTTTACTGGACACTTAGGCCCACATTTGCTGCCCCAGTCCCCCCATATTCTGAAACGAAATTAGAGAACAGGAATCAGTAAATCAAAGTGAGCTACTTCTAGTTCTCAGAGGAGGTGAGCCCTCTAGCATGCATGTGGTGGTTAAAATTTACAGAAAACCGCAAGACATGGCAGAGAGAAGACTCAGTGGCTAAAGCCCTTGCCATTCTCTCAAAGGACCCTGGTTTGGTTCAGAGAACCCACATTAGGTGGCTCACACTCTGCTGTAACTGAAGTTTCGGGGGATTCAACACCGTTGTGTGAATGTATATGTGTGACTAAATCTGTTCTTTCTAAGTAGCATTGCCAAAAGAGAATGTAACCTACTACAAGGTTTAAAGACTAGAGAATTTTCCTCAAACAAGTTGTAAGGCAGATTTATGCATTATAGCTTTGTTTAGATTGAGGAACTGTTACACACCATTGGGCCCTGAATAAGTACAACCTATTTGCAGTCCTTGACACCCTTGACTGAGATGTCTTTAGAAATGTGTCACCTGGCCCTAGGGAGAATGTATTTATTGTCTTTGGCAAGATGCCTTTTGTAAGACACATTTGGTCCCCATGGACAATTTGGGCTTTGTCAACGCATTCTGAAGTTCCCTGCCTTTCTCAGCAGAAAAGCAGGCTGCAAGCGGTTCTTCCTTTCCACGTCACTGTCACTTCCCTGTCTTCATCCTGCCTCGTACCCTTAACATGGACAGTACTTTCCCTTCTGGTCCCTCTCTCTTCTTTGTAGACTCCATCTTCTTCCCTCCCTTTAAGTGCCATTGCTCCAGGAGTCTCCCTTTTGCTCACACTCTTCAGGGATCCTTCTGTGTCTATCCCTTCATTCCACCCCTTCCCCAAGCGGGATACCCACTGGTCAACTTATCACCCAGGTAACTCCTATCTAGCTAGCTACTACAAGCATCCCAAATCCTACCTGCTCCTTCTCCAGTGTTCACTGGCTCAGTAAATGATGCCAGAAATATTTCTCAATAAATATACTTTTACATGAATCTTAAAAAGGAATAATACAGACATGGTAGGATAAAAAGGTTAGATTATTGAACTTACTCTGAAAAGAATAAAGAGAAGATATAGATATGATAAGATAAAAAGGCAGATTATTGACTCTAGTCTTAAATAAAACTACTGGTTTTAAATATTTTACATTGGATTGGATTTTTATATATTGTATGCAAATGTTGTATATTGATACAAATTTAAGATTAATTTTGCTAAAACATACTATACATGCATTTATAATATTGTTCAAGGTATTGTACCTATACAACTCATTTAAGGCCCAGGCACCAACAGTAAGCCAAGAGCACTCGGAGATACATAGATTAATAGAAATGGGTTAAAGATTAAGAGACAGCTAGCCAATGAGAAGCCTGAGCCATTGACCAGTTTGTAATTAATATAAGCCTCTGTGTATTTATTTGGGACTAAACAGCTAAGGGATCAGGCTGGACAGAAAGTTCCATCTACAAACATTAATTCAACATTTGGGAGACAACTGTGACCACTCACCCATCTTTAGCTGCACAGCCTGTCAGTGCCTGCCTATGGGCCTTTGCTTAGGTGGGCTTTATCAGGAATTCTCTCCCCTGCCTCAAACTCCTCACTCACCACTCTGCCTTGAGTCTTTAAAGCCTCGTTGGCAAAAGTATACTTCAGCCTACACAGATCTAGGCTCTCTGGAGTGAGCAAAATAGATAGAAATCTCTGCTTGTGTGCACCTTGCATCAACAGCAACTCCCATCCCATGGCTTAGTCCACCACGGAACACTAGTTTGATGAACACTTCTTTAATGCATTCACCTCATGAGAGAGACAATCCTACCCCTTTTCTGAAGCACAGTTACAGGAAGGAGAAGAGCAACAGGGGTGTGTGGAAGTGGGGAGTCCCCGGGGACAGTAGAGGGGAGGAGATAGATCCTCAACAGAATCGCACAACAGTTTCCAAATTAAAACCTGATGGAAGAGTCCTTGTGGGTCTCTGGCTCTCCCCAGGGCAAACTGCATAGCATGGCAAATGCCAGCTCTGTGTTATGGATGGTTTAATGAGTTCCCAAACAGCAGGGTACGACACAACCACGAGAAGCAAAGGGACAGAACAGGTCTGCAAGCTCAGGCACCCAACCTCAAAAGCAAGAGGTGAACCAAGAGCTGTGGCGGTGGCATAGGCACCCACAAATGAGGATGACAGCATAGATTAACTATTACCTGGGCAGGAAACTTCGGTTTGGAAAGATGGGATGACACAGAGACTGAGAAAACAGCAGTGATTTTCCTGAATGCCTCTTCCCCATATTGATTAATGATTTTATTTCACTGCATTGAATCTTATATCAACTCTGACCACATTGATTTCCTTGATTGCGATGAGCACCCCTATATCACCCACACCTCTTGTCGAGCGATGGACTAGAAGCTGAAAGACATTATGAGAGATAGCTGTACTAGGGGCTTGGTATCAAACTCTTCTTTAACTGAATCATCAGTAGAGTCTTCTGAATTCTGTGACTCAGGCTAAATGTGTGTTCTCCTCTCTACAACATACTATACACATGGCAGAAAGAAAAGAATGACGGGAACTTCCAGAATTTTCAATGTACTTAAAGCTCATATTTCCATGTAGAGAACAGCACAGTACAATGGCCAAAGGAAGTCAGAACATGGAAACCCAGTGTCAGCGTTGGAAACAATCCACCAAATTTGTCACAGTGGAGTCAAGTTCTGATTCAGCACTTTCTTCTCTAACCTTGGTTCTTTGGCATTCTCTATCATCCATCCATCCATCCATCCATCTATCTATCTATCTATCTATCTATCTATCTATCATCTATCTAGCTACCTACCATGTATCATCTATCTATTTCTTTCTCCCCATGTGTACTGTGTGTGCATGTGTGTGTGTGTGTGTTTCAGAGTAGAAAGGAGGAAAATAAAGGAGAAAGGGATAAATAGCTGAAGTCTGTCCAGTTTGGGTATCTATTTTCCAGTCCCGCAGTGGTTGAATTCCCTCTTATCTGTCTTCTGGGTTGTATTATCATGGATTTCAATCTCTTTGGGCATCCTAAGTTGGATAGTGAATATCACTCAACAATTTTCATGTGCCCTCCTTGTATCTAAGAATAACCATCTCTGTATACAACATTCCCAGTTTAACACAGACAGGATCTTGGTTATATATGTGAATGAATGCAGACAGTTCTCACTGGTACTCTGCCCACCTTTACAGATTAAAATTAGCCCTGCTTGAGGTCCACCCACTGCTATGTAGCAAGGACCACCGGGTGCCACTAAGATGAGCAAATATGTAGTGGGCAAATGAGAAAGAAGAGAATTGGAGCTGTTTGTGTGCTGTGGAGAAAGGCGGGACTGGATACAAGTCGGCAGTGAGGAAGAGGCTGATGTGAGTGGCCTGTGAGGACATGTGATTCCAGACCTGAGCTGCCTCTGAGGATCATGTCTGGGTCTGTGGCACTACCACAGCTAAGGTCTGTGTTGATATTCCTGCCCCCTTTTACTAAAGGTCATGAGGATACCCTTGGTCTGGACTGCCATCTAAAGCCATGTTGATGTCTGAAGGATGTACTATGCTTGGTCTCACAGGAGAACTGACCCTGGTGGTGTGGGCTCAGGAGACCTGGCTCTGCCCCTCACCTGAAGGGGAGATGGAGTGTCCCAGTTGAGACCTGGGTTAACCAATTCAGCTAATACCCAGGCTCATATCCAGGCTTTTGGGTCAGACAACCCCAGCATGTACCCATCTATGACTTGCTGAAGTGCATGAAGGGACTGATCCTGTGGAACCATAGTCACAGGGTCTCCATGACTCAAGGCAACAGCAGACTATC